CTCCGGAAAAGCATCCAATTTTTTGTATACATCAAAGAAATATTTACTAAAGTCATTCCTCGACAATGGTAAACCATTAATCCGGATTCGCTCACGAATTTCTATCAAATGTGGTGAGCTGGGAATAAATAGAACAATACTTTTATAATGATGAAATATAGCCGTAAATTGTATATATATCTTATATCAACATTATCTGCTCACCTATACATTCCAGTTTTCAGTCCATGTGCTCGTAATATACTTTCACAAAAAGCAGACACCGATCCCTTGCCTTTTGTACCACTTATATGAATGATTTTCAAACTATCTAAATCGTCAAGCTGTTGACAATAGTAAATAAATAAATAAATAAATAAATTATATATAAATATTCCATTAATTTATAAATTAATATTGAATTAATCACTGAATGTTTGCTTTGTATTTCGGAAAGTAAGTCTGTGATTGCCAACAGCGCCATTTCACTAGTATACTAACAAGTTAACAACAACCTACAATTGGCATCAGTGCCGATAATGTACACATATGTGATCATTCAACCATCATCACAGCTATTTTGTTATACTATAAATACACATGAACAGTTTGTCGCCAATGAAATAAAGGAAGAAGAGATTTTTACCAAAAGAGTAGTGTCTACCATTTTTCACTACGTTGGAGGGATGAATACCTGTCACGAGGTGACAGAAATGTTGCACGGATGCTATATATTTGTGTAATTTAAGTGTCTATTTAAATGATGGGTCATACACCCGTGTTGGAATGGTATGGTCCAGAGAAAAGATCGTCTTGTCGGAAAATTTGAATACCGAGTATGTGCACTTGGACATTGGTACCTATAAAACTTCATCGCATGCTCGGGGCTATCCCATCCGGCGTAACCACGTTGGACATCATTGTCTGGAGCTCGTATACAACTAATGCAGAGAAGTTAAAGTCTCGTAGAGCTGACTGACTTTAACCATAACCATTGCTGGCTGCAAAGCGGCGAAGATTGGGGCAACACATCGACGGAACTTACTGTCTGTGTATCCCCAAAGAAGCCTGCGGGTCGTCTGCGCGTAGATAATGTCAACAAGTTGTTGAAACAGCCATATGACTTCATCAAACACGTTTTATTAATTATTCATGTTCAACTGCAAGTTCTGTTTACAAGACATTTACAATCGTCGTGTGATGCTGTTTAGTAACACTACGTTAGGGTTACATATTTCATGCATATTTTGAGCTTCTTATTGTGTATATTTTGGAGTGCACTTCATTTACTTAATTCATCAAATTATTATATAACTGCTGTAATTTTGTACTGCTTTGCTGTCATTCTATTGACGTGTTTTGCCCAATTGGGCTGGTCAGACGCTGGAAATTTGGTAATATTTAATGATTGGAACGGCGTCAGTTTAAACGATTCACTCGTACCTTGTTTACACTTGGATGTAAGCTCCATGTTACTGTATGTGCTCTAACTCGTTGAGAATTGGTTAACACGCACAGTTCTAGTCCAATTTGTATTCCTGTTGGGATTTGAGCCTTGTGCGGTGTGACTTAATTATTATTGACCTTTAATCTGTTCCAGTTATACTTAATAAACCGTTAACTGCTAATATATGATTGCATCTATTTTATGTTCACACTGACTACACTAGGTCACCAGTTATTACAAATATATAAGTCAAAATTAATGCTTAAATGTAGCAGTGGGGAAAAGAACCCACAACGCAAGGGCAGTCTTGTTTGGTAGCCACACTTGACTCCGCCTTGTGACATTTGGTGTCAGAAGTGGGATTGGCAAATTGGAAAATAAATAAGCCAATGCTGTGGCTTTATGTCATATATTACAGTTTAATTGGTGGATTGGTGTGAACTTGAATTGTGAACTTACGCAGTTGTATTTGCATATTAAGCTCATATTGTTATTATAATTATCATTATTTTAATATGGCTGAAGGGTTTGGAATTAATACTAAAACTCCCAAGGGAAAGAAGGGCTCACAATTCCAGATAAACATCATCGGTTTGAGAGATGAAAGACAGCAACTTGGCTATCAAGATGCTGAGTTAGATAAGTATGTGCAGGCTCAGTTTGCTGCGCTGCAGGCTGAAGAACGAAAAGAGCGGTTGGCTCGGCGACCAAGAGAAGCAAGCGAGTGCGAAATGCAGGGAGAAAGAGAAGCAAGCGAGCGCGAAATGCAGGTAAAGTTAGTTAGATATGCTCGAGGTGGCTAAAATTGAAGCACAGTGTCCAAAACAATACCCTATTTGCGGCCAATATACAAACACACCCCCCCCCCGCTTATAAGGAAAATGATGACATGGATGTATATGTTAATCGTTTTGGGATATATGCAGAAAACTGCGGGTGGAAGAAGCCTGTTTGGGGTGTGCCGTTTAGTGGGCTATTGTGTGGTAGGGCTTTGATGGTTTATGATGCGCTGATTCCCGAGGAGACGCGTGATTGGTCTACTGTAAATGCAGCCATCTTGAAAGCATATAATCTGGCTAAGGAAGGGTATCTTAATAAAATTCGTAATATCACTCCCTTTAAATACGAGAATGCCAAACAGTTCTTGGTTAGGTTGACTCACTATTCAAATAGAGATGATATGTATTGAGAAAACACTGAATGCGTTCATGGACTTGATTCTATGTGAACAATATTTCAGTACCTGTAGTCCCGATATGTTGGTGTTCTTACGGGAACATAACTGTCATACTGCAGATCAAGTTGGTCAATTCGCTGTCCTCAGAAATGAGACTCGTGATTACACTGACCAAAGGGCTATTGGTGTATCAAAGGCAAATAAAAATGCTCCAAATAAAAATGTTGGCAGTCCAATAGATAAATAACAAACACAGACAATCAATGACAGTGGTTATAAACAGTTGAAATGTTTTCGTTTTGGTCGTGTGGGTCATAAACGAGAAAAGTGTTTGACGATTCATTCTGCAACCGGAAAGAGATTGACTGTTGCAGCCTGTGTTCAAGCACCAAGTGGTACATGTGTCCAGTCAGATGCTACTATTGTGTCTGCTTGTTTGTTGTTGCCTAATGCAAACACAACTGTTAACGCTAACGGGCATATGTGTGTACATAATGCTAATACTGTTATTACATGTTCAGTGGCAGTAGGCGAGGATGTGCGTGCTGAGGTGGCAGATTTGAATATGCCAGTCGCTGAGGGTATTGTGAATGTCCATACACCAGGGTCACCAGTTATTGCTTGTTGGTTGTATACAAATATACAAGTCACAATTAATGCTAAAAAGTAGCAGTGGGGAAAAGAACCCACAACACAAGGGCAGTCTTGTTTGGTAGCCGCACTTGATTCCGCCTTGCGACAATACCTTTCTTTGGTATGTGTGGGCGCTGTTCGCCCTTCCTGACTATGCTCTGTACTTTACTTGAACATACCTAATTGTACCGTTTTAATATATTGTAATTTCTGTTATCTTTAATATTAATTTCAATAAAGAATTGTGTACAATAGGTATAATTATTTGTATCTCTATTGGCACTCACAGCTCATACTTATTGATTTTGTTTACACAGATGTATGTTACCTTACCATAACAATGTTATATGTAGAATTATCTTGTAATATCTATCTGCATGCTACATTCTGCCAGTGATAACATGTTTATAGTGTATGTTTAAGCCAAGGGATTAAACTCACTGTTATATTAACTCTTTTTAAATCATCTAGAAATTCCGCCATAGCCTTCTTCACCCACTCGTGATAGTTATTTACCTTCTGCCTTTGAAGACTGCACAACCTGATAGCTTCCTGTTAATCAAGGATTCCTGACCAATATTAGTTTATGGGTCTTTACCAAATATGCATCACATTTCAAAAAATAAATTACAGTTATTTGAATTCATTGTCTTCATGGACACACATATCTTGCACCCATTATATGTTACATTAGGAGGCAAAACCTCACACTTTAATTTAGCCATACATCATCAAAATACGAACAAACCCACATATGAAATGAGCAATGTTGATTTACACCAGCAACATAGAAGCTTACCATATAATCTTCCTGCAACATGTTTTAATGTCAAGTACAAATCCGCCTTATTATTGTGAAGAATGCCTGGAAAAACATAAACGAACTATTTACAGAATGTACACACACCAAATTCTGTGAATGCTCCTTGATCAATTAAGAATGCAGTGATGTACAAAACTGATATATAAAATGCGTTATTAGGTTACTATTGAAACACATATCTGAATTCATGATTAGGAAACGCATTGACGGCCAGAAAATATTTGCCATGAATATTTGTTTGAATATGTATATGTTCACATTAATTTTTATAATCATATTCGTTTACTTATTATTACAAGTGCGATTTTAAGAATTAAACATTAACAATATAATTTATAATCTATTTCACTCGTGTCTTTCTACAGTTTACATGATTTAAACTTCGTGTCAACAGTTGCAAAGTTTGTTTTTCGGTACTCGTTTGTCATTAGCCACAGATTTAATACACATTAAATAAAAATAATGTGGTAAGTTAAAAAATGTTTTTTACCACACAGATGAAGTTCAAGTCGTGTAGTACGCAAACGCAGCCGATAGAAGTACAGAAATATCACGTGATTGCATTGCAATAAATACTCGCGTAAATCATTACACTTATTTGTTAAAACTTGCCCTGTTGTAGTTTATGTTTATTATCATCATAGTTACATAAACAACTTTTACTATCATTTTCTAGAATTGTCGAACCATATTGTTTAGTAAATATTTGACCTTCAGTTGAATGTGAATTAATTGCGCTGACGCGTTATGAAGTTGACAATATTAAAAATTATAACAACGCAGCAGGGCCAGACTTTCAGTCGCCGGATTTGACTTCGTGGGCGGCATGTGTCGATGTGGCGCACATTGGGACCACGAAATAAGCTCCCTGCATTTACTGGCCGTAACAGATGGGGCTCTCAGAAGATTATCTTTTCAAAATTACTGGTACCATAGTGAGAAAAAAATACTCCTCTATAATATGCATTCGGTATTTTAACCAATGGTGGAAATTGCGAGGCTAGAATGTGCAATAAAATAGTTTTATGTCCGTGTAAAAAATGAGTGATTTGGCGATGAGTCGTGACTTTAATTGCGTATATACTGTTACAGTAGAAAAGCATATATTATGCTGGGTTTAGGTGTATATATTTTTACAATTGAACTGCTTCGCTGGTACTTTTATGTGTTCAAGCACCCTGGAACGGGGACTTGCAAACAATACTGACAGGGGTGTGTAGCTGGTTGTTTGAAATCCCTACCCCTTATCAGACAAAACGTAAAATGCCTACCCTTTTTCAGACAAGTAAG